GAACCTGAATCCCTTTGGGATTCGGTTTAGTATCTTTCCTAGTTTGCTTAGTTCTTGTTATAGTAGGAATAGAAATATGGTAGGAATAAAAGTTTACTTATATGCTTTACTCTCTTCCTATATAAAGAGGGTTAGACCTTTGTATTCACAAGCCAATTCAATATACAAAATATTTTTCCTCTAATTAATTTCTACCATAAATAGAAAAAATAAAAAGTTAAAACCATATGGTAGTCACAACATAAGACATACCATGTAAATAAGGATAAATTGAGGAATACAGCGTTTTTAATTTATTCTAACATCATATTCGTTAAAATTTCAGACATTAATGATAAAAAAAGTCCTCATAATTTTTTTGAAAAAAAAATATAAAGATCCCGGTGGTATTTTTAAAAATATGAGGGCATAAAAGAGAGGAAGCAACATATGCATGGATAAGCTTCGTGGATTTCAAACCACACTACAAACTCACCCCTACCCATGTGGGTAGGATGCCAAATTATAAATCATGGCAGAACTTTATCGTAAACATTTGACCGTTAAAATATCAATTTAGGAGTGATAACTGAATTTATTACACGTCATTTATCATGCATAAATCCCACAAATCCTTCCCTTCGCCATTTGTTTTCACCCAACCTTCCATCATTTTTATTCATTCAAACCTTCACATTATGTTTAATTTTTTGTATTTAATTTTTTTTGGTATTTTATTTTTTCCGGTAACGGGTAAATAATATTAAAAAGAATAATGTACAAATACAACGGGCATACCCGCGAACAAGGGGTAGACACTCCCCATAAGATAAACCAAAGAGGAACATAGGCACGCAGGCCAAAACAGAATCAAAGGCACGCATGCCCAATCTGAGTCAAAGGCACGCAAGCCCTGGTAGAATTACACCAAAAGTGGACAAATCAGACTAAAAGTCAATGCAAACATATGGCCAAAGACGCCCAAGAATTGTATAAACCATAACTTTAATTTTACAAATAAGAGTCGTAATATCAAGAGGCTTATGATCAAAACAAACCTCATTCCGAGACTTCCAAAGCATAAAGACGGTGCAGGCAAATGCAAGCTTCATCGCCCTCCTCTTGGGAAGGGCACCTCTCTTGTTTGACCGCAACCACCGGACAGCTCGTATGAGGTTGGTAAGGTGTGCCTCAATCTCCATCCAAGAACGAATCAGACCCCATACATGCTTAGTCACCGAGCAGCTGAAGAACAAATGGTTGATAGTTTCCAACTCGACTCCACAAAGGAAACATACTCTTGAGATTCCAACATCAAGGAATCCAAGATTAACCTTTGTGGGTAATCTGTTTCTGAACGCCAACCACAAGGTGAAAGAGCATTTTGGTGGAATAAACGGTTGCCAGATGAACTTCATAGATTTTCTCGGAAAGAAGCTTATTGTTGAAGCAGAAAGGTTTCAAAGCATCTTCAATTGAAAGGGGATTACCAATCTTAACAACGAGGAGGTCTCTAATCTCGGCCAACCTCTTGAATAGACAAGAATCCCTCTTCTTAGGGATCCAAGTCCAAACACTCCTCCCATTAAGGTAGATGTTGTGGACCCAACGAACCCATAGAGAGTCTTTTTTGTTGGCAATGTTCCACAAGACTTTACAAAACAAAGCAACGTTTTGTTGGTATTTTATTTTTTGATTTGAATTGGCGTATTTAATTTTCCTGGTTTTACATTATGTACGGAGTAATAGTTTTAATTTTAGTGGAATACTAATTTTAACTACATTTAATTGTTCAATTCATTTTAAATTTTAAAAAAATTCTATCATACTTGTTATTAAATACTGCCCGTGATTATGTAGTTTATTAGTACTTTTGGAGGCAGAGATGAGATTACAATGCAGGACTGATAGGTAGGGATGGACACGGTACGGTTCCGGTTCCGGTTCCGGAACCGCTGGTTCCGGTACCGCCACCCCTTAGTACCGGTACCGGTACCGGATCGAACGGTACCGGTTCCGGTTCCGGTACCGGCGGTTCCGGTTCCGGTTCCGGTTCTGGTACCGTTTCGGCCATCCATAATTTCTTTTTTTTTTGCTTTTTTATTAAATTTTTAAAGTGTAGAATTGTAAATGTGTAATTGTTAAAAGAAAGGATGAAATAAAAAACTCTATAAATGAAATTGATAAAGGAAAGAATGAAATAAAAAAATAAAAAAATAAAAAAAAAATTAATTACGGTACCGGAACCGGAACCGGTACCGAAAAATGGGCACCGGAACCGGTACCGGAGTGGGCGGTACCGGTACCGGTTCCCGGAACCGGTGGACCATCCCGGCCGACGGTAACGGTACCGGTACCGGCGGTACCGTTTCCGGTCACGGTACCGTACCGGTACCGTGTCCACCCCTACTGATAGGAGTATAGTACTCATGGGTGCTCCTTCCCCCGTAATATAAGAGGATGAATTACTGAGTACTTGAGGACTTTATCAAGTACTCTGATACTCTTTAATTTTTCATGTACTTGTGTTATACTCTAGAAGAAGGTACACCAAAGGTGTACCCCATATGTGCCCCACCCCCTCCTTGTCCACTAAAAAAGGCAAAAAAATTTAAAAAAAAATAAGTAAATAAAAATTGTTGGCGACAGAAGAAGGAAGCCAGATCAAAGAAGGAAACTGAATCCTTTTGGGATTCGGTTTAGTATCTTTCCTAGTGTGCTTAGTTCTTGTTATAGTAGGAATAGAAATATGGTAGGAATAAAAGTTACTTAAATGATTTACTCTCTTCCTATATAAAGGGAGTTAGACCTTTGTAAGCACAAGCCAATTCAATATACAGAAATATTTTCTCTCTTAATTTCTACATGGTATCAAAGCAAGTTTTGAATTCTTGAGACCTCAAACACGCTTCTTCTCCTGCCGGTGGGCATACACAATTCAATGCCTACCGGCGGGATATTGTAATTTTTTATTTTCTTTGATTGTTCTCCCTCAATAAAGAATATCATGAACTCCTTCAACGAAAAACATTGTTGTCGAGTAATCCCGCCCAACCATCAATCTTGAAGAAGTTGTCCGAGAAGGGTTGTTTTACAGAAACATGCAACTCTTTCCTTAGCAGGCAATAAAAAAAAGTCGGCGTTCAGGGTGTTCGAAAAGAATGGCGTTCCCCCTGTTTGTTCGAATACGGTGAAGGTTCGAAAAGAATGGCGTTCCTTTACTCGACTGATTATTCGGCGGATTCGAAAAGCTTAGCGTTTCCGTTGAAGAAAAAAAACTGAAGTGTCTAGATGACACTTGGACAACGATGGCAGCGGCTTCCTCAAGCTTTCTTGCTTTGTTCAATCTTTTGATGTCCAAGCTAGGCATATTGAACTCCCATGCTCCAGCTTGAGGGGGGGTGTTGACGACAGAAGAAGGAAGTTAGATCAAAGAAGGAAACTGAATCCCTTTGGGATTCAGTTTAGTATCTTTCCTAGTGTGCTTAGTTCTTGTTATAGTAGGAATAGAAATATGGTAGGAATAAAAGTTACTTAAATGCTTTACTCTCTTCCTATATAAAGGGAGTTAGACCTTTGTAAGCACAAACCAATTCAATATACAGAAATATTCTCTCTTAATTTCTACAAAAATCAAATAAAAATGTGTGGTGGAGAAGGGGTGGTATACATTTGGGGTACACCTTTTGGTGTACCCCTAACATTGCTCTATACTCTATTCTAAAATGAAAATTCCAAAGTTACTTGACATTGTCATTAGAAAATGTGAAATTGTGTTATCACTGTTGATTTAAAAATGAAAATATAAACCACGCAAAAAATAAGATTTTTAACATTGACGGCTCTAGAATGCGAATCGTTCGTGGAAGACCAAAAGAAACTTGGGGTCATTTTTTCTTTTTTGGGAAACATCAAATTTTGGGATTATTCTTGAAAATAATCCGTTCAAGCTAACTTGAGATGAGTAGCAACGAATGAAAGAAACAGCCAGAAAACCACTTGGATCCATTTGTGAATGAAGCATAAGATCGAACACCACAGTATAAAGAAAGTATAAACAAGCAACTAAACCAACACCACAAGCAAGCAATTTGATTCAATCCAATATGATCAAATGCCAACTTCAAAAGCATCCATCATTAATGGCATGGAAAACCTAGCAAAAAAAAGTTTAGCTCGTACCAGAAGTACTAATTAAACATGTACGTAGTAACACATGAGTTTAGCCAAAACCATAAAAAGAACAATCCAAACTGCTAGGCCATAGTTTCTCCTTGACTGCCACCAAACAATATAATATTTCCTTCCCAATTCCCACTAGTGGAGATTGGAGAACTAAGCAGATCATCGTCGTCGTCCTCATGAATTATGGCATGGGAAAATGGTGCTCCGAAATGAATATAGAGAAAACCACAAGGGCAGGGTGTTCCTCACAGAATACACCTCCTTCCACACCCTGCTCTTCCTATGGTATGCCAGAACCTGATTGTGTGTGGCAAGCAGCACGCATTCCCCCGACTGGCTTATCGGGAACACCCCCGGTACCATCCCTTTTATGCACCTCACGCTCACCCTATCCACCATATCCCATCCTTCTTCTTCTTCTTCTTCTCCGCCACCCCCGCAGCAGCTCCTCATGGCCCAAACCACCATCCAAGCCTCTGATATCCGTACCACAGACAAACGCCCCTCCAACTCCAGCAAATAGCCCCGGGTTCCAGCCCTGCAGCACACGTCACGGGGGAGATGGATCTGCCTCCACTCCCCAACACTCAAATCCAGGACCAGCACGCAGGAACCCGCGTCCGTCAACCAGTGCAGTGCCCCGTTGACAAAAACGGGCTGGTTCTTGTTCATGTGCGTGAACCGACACGGATTTCGTCAACTTGTTGGACCGGGAATCGTAAACCGAACACACAAAGTCCCTCCGGGGCCTGTGGTAGCAGGCCAACACGACACGAAAGTGGAGGGTCGGCATGTCACAAGCCAAGGCAACAAGGGTGGCCTCCCCATCCGGGGAGAACCTGGTGGCGTGTCTTTCTCTGCTGGTCTTGGGAAGGAGCTTGAATTCCCGGGTCATGGGGTTACAGACGTAGTAGACGCCTCGGTCTGGAATGCTGGAACAGCACAGGAGGCCATTGCAGGAAGCCCTAACTTTAACTCTGTCTCCCAAGAAATCCAGAGACAATTCGGACACGCCCCTCCGACGGTCAACGCAGAACAATCCGCCGGCGTCGAGCAAAACCAGGGGATTCCGAAGAGACACATCGCTGTAGAGGCGAAAGAAGTATGTGTCGCGGATGAGAGCGAGCCAGAGCTTGCAAACGCATCTGGCTCTGACAAGTGATCTGACGGGCAATCGGGCGAGGATCTGGATCATGACTTCCTCCGGGACAAGCACATCTTCATTCATATTTCTTTCTTTCAAGAAGGAGAAATAATCCAACTGGGGAGAGGATTGAAGAATGGGATTTGATGGAGGAAATGGAAGTGCGTGATAGGGCAGAGAGAAGAGGAATCAGCCAGCAATCGGGGGGGTGGGGAGGTTTTCGTTTCAATGGATGGGCATGGGGGAGGAGGTTGGAAGAAATCAACACCATTCCACGCCAATCAGTCGAGCAACTCTCCTTCTTAATTCCTCCCTAGAACACAAAATCGTCCTTCCCGACACCATTATCAATTCCCAATACATTACCTCGGAGGATTTAATTAAAGTACTCCCCACAAAAAAAAATATTTCTTTTTATTTACAAATTCATATGGAGATTAAAAAATATTTTGTATAATTTCAACATTAAAAAATAAAATGAATTGAACAAATTTAAACTTTTATTTCCGGTACAATTTACATATTAAAAAAATATGTTAAAAAGTTCGGCAAAACCTAGACTAATAGAACTATTTTATTTTATCAAACAATAAATAAAAAAACTCAAATAAATAAAATTTATCAAAAAATCAGAACAATAATATACGAGTAGTAATCAATTGTTGAATGCAAGAATCACAATACACACAAAATTTTCATTTGTGTATTTAAAATTTTACGTTGTAATAATTTAAAATCATTTTAATTACCCTCTGAAAAACACATGCAAAATTCCATGTAATTTCAATTTATTTTATTTATAAATTAGTATAAAAATAAAAATTATTTCTAACGTATTAATTAAACAACCACGAGAGTAATCCTACAAAAGAAAATGACAATGATAATTTATCGTATCAAATAATCAATTAAAGCACATAGCTAAGCAAAGTCATTTGTTTCCAATAAAAAAACTACAAGCAAAAAAGCTGGAAACAATAAATATTTAAAAATTAAAAGAAAAAAACTTTAAAGTGAAGTCCTTAAAATTAAAAGTATAGAATTTGAAACTGAAATACTTAAGTAAAATAATAGAACCTAAGAGAAAATTTTAAAATTACAATAATAAAATGTGAAAGCATATACTCCGTAAGAAATATTTTTTGAGATTTTGTTATTAATTATTTATGAGAGCGTCTAAAATGACACCAGTTACTTATACACCAGTTGCTTACACCAGTTCATTTGAGGTATCTACGGTGCCCCGTTTGTAAAAATGCAGTTCCTACCCCCCCCCCCCTAACCCTCCCCCTAAACCCCCCACCCCAACCCTCCTCCCTATGCGGTGTACTGCCAGGGTAGGGAGGGGGGCTGGGGGTTTAGAGGGAGGGTTAGGGGGGTAGAAACCGCCATTTTTACAAACGGGACACCGTGGGTACTCCAAACAAACTGATGTAAGCAAATGACACGAGTAGCACTGGTGTTATTTTAGACTTACTGATTATTTAAATACTTATTTAAACTTTTCAAAAATATCATTTCAAATTCACTTTAAAATGAATATCCAGGGACCAAGACACTGCTCTTGCACCCGGTCACTTCATTTCTGGACCAGCACTTCAAATCTGAAGAAAGTCCAATAGGATTTACTAGTCTTTAAAAGAAAGAGTCTTAGCTCAACCTCAAACAAGGCTTTCAATTTGATCCAACTATATAGAAAGAGAGAGAGACCCGTCATTAACACTCCCTACAAGTTGGCGTATCAGCATTCTATGTACTAAATATTAAATTTGAACCTTAATACCATCATCATAAGTTAATACGGGGTAACATTTTATGGATCACATGTCATATATGTCATATCAAACCTTTCCCGGTAAGGGAGTATTTTTGACGGATCATCAAAACATTAATGAAAGATCAGAGTGAGAGTTCTTCCTAACCTCTCCCAATTTACGTTGATTAATAAACTAATAATATATCCATGGTGTGAAAGAAGACAAGTGATCGCGTCTTCAATCCGCTTTCATCTAATCCTATTTTCAAAGTCAGAGCTGTGCATAGTGGGAATGGACACGAACCGCCGCGTTTACCTAATACTCGCACCTATAATGAACATTGGGTGATGTTGGTGGTGCCTTGCTACTCCTGCAAAACAACATCCGGAAAGCTGCTAGAAGCAGTATTTACGCATACAGCATTACTACTTTCGTAGCAAGATAAACATCAACTACTAAGGGTATTCGATCAATTGAATGAATCCAATGTGGGAATGGATCGGAGGTCTTGTCCCTAAGGCACCTACATCAAGAACGTATATACAATCTCACACATTCATTCACATTTCACAGTTAATATCCTTGACTCTGTAAGAAATCAAACAATGTATAACCTCACAACCAAGGGAAGTGCTTCACACTCAAATAGGAAGATAAGGAGCCATGAAATTTACTTGTTTCTTTAAGGGGGAAAACGTACCCGTTGTTTAGGATTCACCCATGTGCTATTTATCCAATCCTGATGAGGCCGCAATCCATTATGCCGAAATTCTAATATCTCATTTGTAGTCTCAAAATATACATTGTACCGCCCACCCTCAAGAACTTTGCATACTCGACCAACCCGCCAACCATTAATGAACCAAGCATCAACGTCATCAAGAGCTCTGTATCGGTCAGTTCTTTGCAGTAGAGGAGGGGAAGGCCTTATACACAAAGCATCTGCTACGTGAATCAACAGTTCGGTTGCATGATCATATTTAAGCGTCCTGAACTCTACCAAGTACTTGGCATTGCCTATTGGCCTCAAAATCAAAGCCGGATAATACCAAGTTTGTCCAAGCTGATTTTCGTCCCCAACTATAACCTCCACCTTCTCTCCATTGCAAAAACGCGTTCCTGAGCCAATCATGGTGCTGCATCTCTTCATTAACCCAAGGTTGGGATTGGGTAGTTTGTTGGACTCCTGCACTTCAAGAAAGAAATTAATAATACATCATAATGGTAATAATAAGCAAGACACTGCAAGGTGAAGTACATGAAAGGGAATGAGGTCATCACATACATTGAAAGCAATTTTCCATTTTCCATCAATCCACTCTTGATGAGGCCTAATACCATAATGTTCAAACTCTATTTCTTCATTTGTGTTCCAGAAATACACCACATACTTTAAGCCTTCAAGAACTTTGGAAATGAGACCCTCCCACCACCCGTCATTGTACCACGCATTAACTTGTTCAAACATTTTGAAGCGATCAACCTGTTGGATGATGGGGGGGCAAGGGCGAATATTGAAGGCATCTGCTTTTTCCTTTAGGAGTTCAGATTCATCATCTGTTTTCAGAGTCTGATATTGCAACACATACTCGTTCTCCTCTTCCATGGTGTCGAAAATGAGAGCAGTGAACCAAGAACCATGGTAACCTTCTTCATAGCTTGTGGCTTCTACCATCATTCCCTTACTGAACTTAGGACCTAACACCTTTGCATCACCCTTCATCTTCAACTTTGCGGCAATTGACTTTGCTGTCACATCATTTGTGCTCCTTGGCAAATCAAACTAAGAGGATGCATAATGAGTACACAAATAAGACACAATACCCGGTAAGAAGCATCAAAACTAATAAGATATTATTATTTGTATACCTGTACCTTTGAAGCCGCAACCCATTTGTTATTGATCCAGTCTTGGTGAGGCCTCAAGTTAGAATGTGCAAATGTTGAGAGTTGATTTGTGGACCCTAAACATACCACGTAATTCATATCTTCAAAAACCTCCCACACATATCCCTCCCACCATCCTTTATCAAACCAAGCATCAACTTTGTCAAGATGGTCAAAAGGATTGACCCTTTCAATTTCAGGTGGAAATGGCCTGACGCATGATGCATCAACCTCTCCTGCGAGAAGTTCAATCCCATTTTCTGTCTTTAAGGACTGATACTGTACCAAGAGTTTCCCGTTTCTTAATACATCCATCATAACTGCAGCATACCAAGATACATCAGAACCTTCACCACTATGCCTAACCTCCACAAGCTTTTCCTTGCTGAACTTCCTACCTCGGGGTCTTCTGTTACACTTGATCCGGAGTTTGATACCACTTGCTGTCATTACCGAATCTTCAGATTTCTTCTGCACGGAATAGTAATAGCAAAACTAATTATCACTCCGTATTATTATTATAGTCCAGTTTTTTTTGACAACGGTGTCATATTATGACAACCAGTGTCATATTATGACAACGGTCTATTTAAGTTTAAGAGCTCTATAGTGTTCCGTTCGACACGAAGTCATTATTATTTCCTAACTCCTAAGCACCCAGGAGGTGACAATCCACTGTCAACCCCCCCCCCCAGATGAGAGGAAAATATATTGTGCACTTTGTAAGTTTTGAAAAGAATGTTGGGTCAACACAACAACATATGGTCTTTGTTGGTTCCAAAAGGTAGTCTGCAGGCAGAAAACAGCTTGACTCCAATCAATATATCTCATTGGAATTGGAATATTGGATCATATACAAAAAAATCCATGTATTCCTTCTTATATGCTACCCTACCCGTATTGTAAATTGATCGAATAAGTGTCTAATGTGGAGTATATTTTTTTTTCTTCTGGGTCTTCTTCATTCTACTCTTCTTGGTTGACATTTGACAACATAGTCTAGATATAGACGCATAGACATGAACACTGTACACACGTGCTTGTGGGCACATTTAGACCATGCATGACTAAATTGCTTGTAACTAAGTTACTGTGTATAATAAATGAATAAGAGAGAGTAGAGGCCGAGCATTCAAAGTTGTCATCAATTCATCATCGAAGAAGTTAATTAATGCGCAGTATATACAGTACCTGTGAGTGTTGGCACTGATGGGAGTAAGGGTCAGATTGATGTTCAACCGGTGGATCCCAGGACCCGTCTTTCCAATCCCTGTGGACCCGCAATTGCCATTGCTCCGCCGCCACGCTCTCCGCCGCCTCATTTTCGCCTCCTAGAGTCACGGCGTACATCGAGTTCTCCAGAATTTCGTCCACCGTCCCAGTCCTCCACCCTCTCTGTTCATAGAGAACATCGGCGCTGTCCCCAACTTTAAAATAGCAGCACGTTTCTCGCGGCGGAGCAGGGCGGACAGAGGAGGCGCAGACGTACTCCTTCCGCCGCCTGGTGGGATCATCGTCGGAACACAACGTCTCGAATTCGACGTAGATCTGATCGGCCCCGCCGTTCCTCCTCGCAAGCGGCCGGAGCACAGCCGCGGGGAACCATATTGAGAAATGCTCGCGGTTGAGGACTTCGACTTTGTCTCCCCTGGAGAACGGCGGCGCTTCAGGAGACATTGCGCCGCCAGTCCGTAGCTCACAATGCGGAAACCCTAGTGCCTAAAAAACGAAAGAGAGAGAGAGAGAGATAGCGCGAGGATAGTGCGTACGGGGAGTAATGGAATCACTCGCCGCCATGATTATGATAATATGAGATGATCTCACGGTAAGGGCATCCGCAGTGGTAAGCAGTATTCTCGAACGGTCATTTGGTCACACGAGATTCCAAAATTTTGGAACAATTTTGACGAAATAGGCATTACATTGTTGCCTCATTTTTTTTAACTCAACATCTCATCTGTGGATTTCTATCCCATGCCTTCAAAATCCAAAGAATTTAAATTGGATGCCGCTTATCTAAATATAGAGTTCTAATGTTAAAGAAAATTTTTTCAATATACTTCACATCAATTTTTAAAAAAATTGTAAAATGGCCCATGTGTAATGTGTCACACCTTTTCTTTACTAGTGATTTATTTTACTTTTCTTTTATTAATTTACTAGTTTTAAAATATTAATTTTGTGTTTTGTAAGAGTTCAATTCATACACAAGTCAAACTGTTTAATATTCTTATAATGTACCCTGTATATAATACTCTCTCCGTTCCTAAAAAATTGACACAGTTTAACTTTTTTGATCAAATTGCAGGACCCCTTCATCGTGAATTATAGAAAAAAAAAATTAATTTTAATGTAAATTCAGGTGACTACATTGAGCATTATTTTCAATTATCGAGTAACATCTCGATAATTAGTTCATCTTGGAAACTGATTTGAGAAAACACATAATTGTTGAGTACCATTTAGAAAATTTATTAATGTAAATTAATAACCTAGTTGTTACAATATCTGCCTAAGTTTTTTTTGGGGGGTGGGGGGGGGGGAAG